GAGTAAGGGGAAGGCTTCTAGGCAGAGGGAGCAACACCTGTCTTTACCAATCATGTGGCTGTCCATCATGTGTCTTCTGTTAACATTTCTGATAGTTTGTCTTGTATTTCTAGCACACTTTAATATACCAGATCTTTTCTTCTTATAACTGGCTTATAAATGCCCTTAGATTAGGGGCCATATCCTCTATTCCCCCATCCATAAAATGCTTGTTGCAATATCCACTTTGTAGAATTGTTATGTTAGGGGAAATTCATGTGATGTACATGGTAGGCATCCAGTGTTTTTGTTTTCCTATAATGAATGGAATGAAGTGTCTAACTCAGTTCCTGGCCCACATAATATACTCAGCACTTAATGATGAATGATCCTACCCTGGTTCAAAATCGTTGTGTTCACATCTGAACTCTGCTTTGGAAGGCCTCATTGGATGGGAAAAGATCCAGAGAGACGCAATATTTCAGCAGGGTGAGGATACCTGCCTGTGAGAGCTAACCAGATGAGGGCTGTCCAGTCTGAAGAGGAGGCAAAGATGTTGAGATTCAACTCAAGTTCACTGAATGCTTATTTATATTTTGCATAATTTCACAATGTTCTATTACCATCTCCACTTTGCAAATAAGAAGGCATATTTAGAGACACCAAATTCCTGGCTGAAGGCCACACAGCTGGACGGTGGGATCCACTGGATTCCAAGTTCAGTGCTTTTTACACTTCAACATAAAAACTTTTGTGATGTAGAAAAACATTAAGACTTTGGATAAGTTAAATACAGACTTGTTTGCTAAACTGTCTAAATACTCAAACCACATGTAATTTCTAGAGCTAGAGAGAAGTTGTTTTAAGGCAAATAAAAGGAAGGGTAGACTTATGTTCGGGGTAGGGTAGGAAGAAACACAAGAAATGTATTATTATGATAAGCAGGACAAACTGGAAAAGAAAGAAATTAGAAAAGAAGTAATAAGATCATAGGTATAAGATCCCTGGCAAGTCATGAAAAGACTAGACCTCCTCTTTTACTTCTTCTTGAGCTATGAGAACACCCTCAGCCTAAATCTGGCCTCTTTCCAAAGGCAACCTGGAGTTGTTCGAGGTCTGGGTTCCTACCCTTCTGGGCAGGCCAGCTGTGCCCTCTTTATTACCTGTCTCTGGCAGAGCTATTGAAGAAAGTATCCTAGGCTGTAACAAAACATTGGTCATAGTAAATATTTCTTTTTTTCCTCCCTAAAATTTTGGCTTGAGGGCCTAGAATTTAGTATTAAACAACCAGAGTAAGTTTAGGGAGATAGCAATTAAATCTCATACATCACACTCGAATACAGCTGACCCTTGAACAACATGAGTTTGACCTGGTCCACTTATAGGTGGATTTTTTTCCCGATCAACACGATATAGCACTGTATTTTCTCTTCTTTGTTATTTTCTTAGGAATATTTTCTTTTCTCTAGCTTACTTTGTTGTAAGAATACAGTATACAATATACATAACATACGAAATATGTGTTAACTGACTGTTTACGTCATTGGTAAGTCTTCTGGTCAACAATGGGCTATTAGCAGTTAAGTTTTGGGGGAGTCAAAAGTTATACATGCAGATATGCTGTATTTATCGGGAAAAAAAGCCCACGTACAAGTGAACTCGCACAGTTCAAACCTGAGAAGACAAGACACAGACTGGAAGACAATATTTGTAAATCACATATCTGATAAAGGATTGGAATTCAGAATATATAAAGAACTTTCAAAATGCAATATTAAGTAAAGCAACTCAAGTTTTAAGACTGGGCAAATGACTTGAACAGACATGGTCACTATCTTTATTGTGGACCTATTAGGATTAGCTATGGAGGCCAGCCTCAGGATCTTCATCTGCAAAAAGGAGATAATAATAAGAGTCACCAAAGAAGATAGACAGATGGATAACAAATAAGCATGTGAAAAGATATTCGATATCGTTAGTCATTATGGAAATGCAAATTAAAATCACAATGAAATACCACTACATATCTATTAGAATAGCTACAATTAAAAAGAATGACAATGCCAGTGTTGGAAAGGATGTGGAACAACTGGAACATTCATCCACTGCTGACAGAAAGGATACAACTGGGGCGCCTGGGTGGCTCAGTCGGTTAAGGTTAAGCATTCGACTTCCGCTCAGGTCATGATCTCACAGCTTGTGGTTCTGTGCTGACAGCTCAGAGCCAGGAGCCCACCTCAGATTCTGTGTCTCCCTCTCTTTCTCTGCTCCTACTCTGATCACGCTCTGTGTGTCTCTCTCAAAAATAAATAAACATTAAAAAAAATTTTTTTAACTGACACAACTATTTTTTTAAATGTTTATTTATTTATTGAGAGACAGAGAGGGAGAGAGAGAATCCCAAGCAGGTTTGGCACTGTCAGCACAGAGCCGGATTTGGGGTTTGATGAACCCCTTGATGAACCTTCATGGCTTCATGAACCATGAGATTATGACCTGAGCCAAAATCAAGAGTTGGATGCTTAACCGACTGAGCTACCCAGGCGCCCTGATACAACTATTTTGGAAAAGTTTGGCAATTTCTCAAAAAGTTAAGCATACATCTACCATGTGACCCAGCCAGTCACTGCGAGGGGCTTACCTAAGAGAAAATAAAATGTATGTCCATACAAAGATTGGTGCGTGAACGTTCATAGCAGCTTTATTTGTAAAAGCCAAAAATCAGAAACAACTAAATGTCCATCCATCAACAGATGAATCATTAACAAATTGTGGTATATCCACATAGTAGCATACAACTCAGCAATAAAACAGAATGAACTAGTGACACACGCAGCAGCAACACAGACGGATCTCAAAATATTTATTCTGAATAAAAGAAGTCAGACATCCCTCCCCAACAAGAACATGTGTGTGTGTGTGTGTGTGCGTGTGTGTGTGTGTGTGTGTGTGTGTGTATGAAATCTGTGATTTCACTTAAGTAAAGTTTTAGAATATGCAAACTAAACTAGTGACAAAAAGCAGATTAGTTTCCTGGGGATGAGAGGGTGGGAGGGAGGGATTACAAAAAGAGCACAAAGAAACTTTTTAAAAAATGTTTTACTTATTTTTGAGAGAGAGAGTGCAAGCGAGCAAGCGAGCATGAGTGGGGGAGAGGCAGAGAGAGAGGGAGACAGGGACTGGACATGGGCTACTCGCTGACAGCAACCGGCCCAACGGGGAGCTTGAACTCACGACCCGTGAGATCATGACCTGAGCCGAAGTCCAATGCTCAACCGACTGAGCCACCCAGCCATCGCCAAAGAAACTTTTGGAAGTGATATTATGTATGTTCATTGCTTTGACTGTGGTGAAATTTTCATGGGTGTATACATAATCTATCAAATTGTGCACCTTAAATATGTAGGGCTTATCCTATGTCAATTATATCTCAATAAAGTTGTTTAATCAAATACAGTTAGATATCAAACACAAATTGTCAATCAAATCCTGAGAATGTTAACAGATTGATGATTCACCAAAAGGGCCAGCCCCACACCTGGAACCCAAAGATGAGGAATTCTCGAGTGGAATCACCAACCATTAGTAACACTTTGGAAACACCTTCTTCTGCCCTTTCACCATTTGAGGCCCTAACTAGCTAACTAGTTTCTGGAAGGAGCCAGGAGACCCTGTGTGGGATGGTTGTGACTCTGAGAGCCCCCTGGGCTGTTGCTTTCTGGTTGCCTTTGGGAACAGCTGAGTTGAGGCTTGGGGTATTTTTTATAGTTTAGGAAGGGGAGGTTGAAGAAAGCAATAAAGGAAACAGGAGCTGGAGATGAGTTGGGGAGGGTAATTCCAGATTCATGGAATCCAGGGGCTGGAATGGCGCTAAGAGACCACATGCTTCAAAGTTTTTGTTTATGGGTAAGAACACCAAGACCTTGACCTCAAGCATAGAACTGGGGCTCTAATCCAGATTTCCTAATTTCCCATCTACATTTTCTTCCATCACCTATTTCCATCATGCCAAGTGGCCACTGTATATCTAGCAGAGACAGACCTATATACAGAAGTGACTTTTAGGTAATGAAAGATTATAAAAAGTGCTTAGATGAGGCGCAAATGAAATGGTATGAGAACGCAGAGGAGGGAAAACCCTCTGATCTGGAAGGGACATCTGGTGATGGGAGGCGACCTGGGCAGCCCTCCCGAGAGTGGTAATAAACACCCTTTAGTAGGTGCTCAATAAATATGAGTATCCTTCCCTTCATATAATGACTCGGGCCTAACTTTCCTCACGTCACACCCAAAGCTTCCCTTTCGTAACAGCCAGAGGTTTCATGCCATCGTGGTTTTGCATCCGAAGTTCTCTCTTCCTGGAATGAACTGTCCTTCCCAGAATGAGCGGAAGGTGACAAGACGTGGAGCTCGGGGGGAATAAAGAGCACATGGTAATAGCATAGCTCTGGAGAATAAATATAAAGCACATGGTAACAGGCGCACGAGCTATGGAGGCCAGCCTCAAGATCTGCATCTGCAAAAAGGAGATAATGATAAGATTCATTTCATAAGGTCATTTCATAAGGTTGCTGGGTGGCTTAAGAGGACATTCCTACGAAGCTTGCTTTCAGCGTCGTCTGTGCCACAGAACGAGCGCGCAGGCAAGACTGGCAGCAGCTGTAGGTGCGCAGGGACCTTCCCCGCCCGCCCCGCCCGGCGCGGGAGCCGCCCCTTGACCGCCCAGTCCGCGCCCACGGCGCCCGGCGCGGCGTCCGCGCCGCCACGTCGCTGCCTCCACCCTCCCACCCTCGGGTTTACCAGCCCCTACCCTGCGCTAGGTAGCCAGTTCACCGGGCCGCGCCCGAGCCTGCCTGCGTCCTCCCATTGGTTCTTGCAGATGCCTGTCATCCTGGGGCGCTGCAGATTGGCCGGGGAGTGTGGGGATGGGCGGGCCTCGGAGAGCGTAGGAAGGGCGGGGACCCGGATGTGTGTGGTGGCGGCGGCCGAAGAGCTAGTGTGAGGAGCTGAGAGGCCTATGGATGAGGAGAACGCGGCGGCCCCGGTAGGCGGGGATCGGGGGGGGCGGGGTCCCGGAGGCTTCGGGTCCCCCCCTCCCCGGAGCCTGAGGCGGGAGGCGGGGGTCCTGGGCGGAGGCTTCGGGGTCAGAGGCGGGGCCTGCGCCCCGGTCCCTGGGCTTCCTGCCTCGGGACCCTCCTCGGCCCCGTGCCGGGCCTGGGGAGACTGGGTGTAGTTGCGCTGACGAGCCCGGCCCTCCTGCCCCCGGGTCTCGTCTGAGGGCCAGGCGGTGTCCGGGCTGGAGGCGGGACCCGGTGCGGCCACCGCTCGCGGGTGCCAAGGCTGTGCGGTTCTGGGCGAGCGGACGTCCTTAGGTCTGGGGGCCACTATCTGTCTGGGGTGGAGCCCAGGCGGCGAGTGAGGAGGGCAGCCCCGCCGGTGCCAACCCTTCTGGGCCACGTGGTGCCTGTGGCTACCGCAGAAGGGTGTAACAAGCGCTTTGGGGTCGAATTCAGCCCAGCTAAGGCTCATTTAAGCACCTACTGTATGCAGGGTACTGTCAGGCCTTGATGGAACCTCAGTCCCAATGTTTGGGCGATGGGAAGAGAAAAGTACCTCCCATTTTCGTCACTTTTGGCTTCCAGGAAAAATTCATTCGTTCGTTCATTCATTCATTCATTCATTCATTCATATATTAGCACCGTTGGTGATTTAAATATCCAGGTCATCCTACTCCTCTCCATCTTCACTGCTACCCTCCTAGTGGATGCCATCTCTCATTGGAGCTGCTCCAACAGCCTCTTCCTTGTTCGCTCCTTCTGCTCTTGTATATCTGTGATCAGTTCTCCAGCCAACAGCCTGAATGATCTTTAACATCTGATAAACCTTAAAAATCCCGTCATTTCCTTGCTTAAAACCCTCCAGAGGTTTCCTGTCCCGCTTGGGATAAAATCCAGACTCCTTAACCTGTGGTCTGCTCTGGCTCCTGGCTTCTTCCCATCTTCTTCTTGAACAGTCTCCCACACGCATTCCCTACGCACCAGCCACCCTGGCCTTTGTATTCCTCTACCGTGCCTGCCTTCCACCCCACGACCTGTGTCCTGGCTGGCCCCTCTGCCTGAAATACTCTTTCTTGAGCTTGTCCCACGCCTGGCTTCTTCTTAACTCAAGTGTCACCTTAGAGAGACTTCCTCTGTCCGCTGTATCCAAAGTAGTCTTTAGACTTTACCCCTTTATTCTGCGTCACCCCACTCTACTTTTCTCCTCTACTGTCCGACGTCGTCAGGTCCGTGTCTTCCCTGTCACGCCTCCCGCACTGGAACGGAAGTGCTGTGAGAACAGGAATCCCACCCATCTTGTTCACAGCGGTACTCCTAACACCAAGAACAGTGCACATAGTAGGAGCTCAGGAAATGCTGAATGTAAGGACGAGGTTGGGGATTGTTGACTGACTTTGAGTCCAGTGCCCTCTCCACGTTCTGGTGTGCTCTGGGCCCTGCCTCCTTCTCAGTCTCCTTCTCAGTCTCCTTCTCCCCATGGCAGGTTTGTTCTCATGAACAAGATGGATGACCTCAACCTGCACTACCGGTTTCTGAATTGGCGCCGGAGGATCCGGGAAATTCGGGAGGTCCGGGCTTTCCGATACCAGGAGAGGTTCAAGCACATTCTTGTAGACGGAGACACTTTGAGGTGAGTTTAGGGGGAGTGCTTCCACATTTTCCTTGCTCTGCCAGGTCTTAGAGATGAAAAGGGGCCTTTTCAGAGGCAGACGACTGTTGGCACCTGCCCTGCGAGGGCCTTTGACCCTGGAGGCCTTTCTGAGTGGAGCGGGGTGGAGCTGTGTCTCTGGGTCACTCTGTCCTGGTTCACATTAGAAGCAGTCATGTAAGAGAGAGGAAGCTGCTGGTGTGTCGAGTCGCCCAAGTGCCTCGTTGAGGGGACTCCAGTGGGTGTGTGGCTTGTCTGGGTCTCCTTCTGCCTGCATCTCAGGGGGTGGGGTTTGGTGGAGAGTAGCCGTTTCAGAGGCAGTGGATTTCCTGTTTTGGGAGGACAGTCCCACAGTGCGTCCTGCCCACCAGTTTCCAGCCCTTTGGCTTGTGTGTTTGTGTTTGTTTTCTCTCTCTTCTGGCTTGAACCCCTTCCCTGACTCCTTCTGAGCCTAATTCTGTCACAAAGTTGTCCCTGAAGGGGGGGGAAGGAAGTAGTGCTGTTTAGCCTGAAGGCAAAAAAGTTGAGGAGTGGGGACTGAATAACCGTCTTCCAGTCTACGAAGGGCTTTGGTGCAGAGGATAGAGACCAGCTGTGCTTCAGCTTCACTGAAGACAGAGCCAGAGAAAAAGGACAAAGCTGCAGCATGAGGGATTGAGGTTAGACAGGGTTGTGAGACCCTGGCTAGGCAATTAAGGGAGGTTCCGCATTCTTTTCCTCCTAGAAATGAAGGAGCCACGCTCATGTTGGTCTGATGTGGGTTGGACCCTGGCTGGAGGCAGCAGGAGGGGTGGGTGACCTCAAGTATCTTGTTACGGTGTCTGTGCAGATGTCCTGAAGTGTGGCCTGATAGATTCTCCTCTGTGTTGGCCCTTACCGGGGGATGGGGCAGCAGTGAGGATGCTGAGGCCCTACCCCCCACTCCTGGGCTAGGCTGCTAATGAACCCCCCCCCCATTCTTCTGTTAGTTACCATGGAAACTCCGGTGAAGTTGGCTGCTACGTGGCTTCTCGACCCCTGACCAAGGACAGCAATTATTTTGAGGTGATCAAGGCAGTGTGGGGGGAGAGCAGGGGGTGAGATTGTTAAGCTCCAAGGAGATTCTTGCTCTCTTTTAATTTGCCATCAGGGCTGTCTTCTTGGCTGAGAAAAGGGCAAAGAATACCATGGTGCCTCAGCTGAGAGATAGATGCCCCAGTGCTGTCACCCTGTCTCTTCTGTTCTCCTGCCCCTCAGCTAGGGGAGGAGCTATGACCCACACCCCAGACTCGGACCCATGTCCTTTCCCACTTCCTAACCCGAGCCCAGCATCTGCTCATTTTCCTATCGTTTTCCATAGCTTCCAAATGATTCTCTGAGTAATCATGACAAAGTAGGCCCCTGGTCTCCCCAGTTCTCCCCTCAGTGTCCTTTCTTTTTCTTTGATTGCCATGTTTTTTGTCTCTTTGAGGCTCTTTGAGCCTTTGATGTCTGACTCCCCTTCCCCACCCCGGCAGAAATTCATCCCGATGCCTGCTAATCCTTCCCCCTGCACTCTTCCTTGTAGGTGTCGATTGTGGACAGCGGGGTGCGGGGCACCATTGCTGTGGGGCTGGTCCCTCAGTACTACAGCTTGGATCACCAGCCTGGCTGGTTGCCCGACTCTGTAGCCTACCACGCTGATGATGGCAAGTGAGTTGCCTCCTGTGGAACCTTGTCCCTTTCCTGTGGATTCGGGAACCTTAGATATAAAGGACTACCTGGACGTGGTTTTTGCCATTCCTTCACCTGTCTTGGGGTATTTTCATAGACTTTTCTGATCAGGATGGGAAGGTGGCCTGATAGCTACCCTTGGAGGTTTGTAGACTTGGAGGGGAGGGTGGAGCTCATGCGTGGACACAGATGCCATTGCAGGGTGACTGGGAGCAGCAAGGTAGGCCCCAGGGGTCAGTGCCGTGGAGAAGTTGGGAGGCCAGGCTCAGGTCCTGTGTCTGTGCCGCTCTGTTTGCAGGCTGTACAATGGCCGAGCCAAGGGCCGCCAGTTTGGGTCAAAGTGCAACTCCGGGGACCGGATTGGCTGCGGCATTGAGCCCGTGTCCTTTGATGTACAGACTGCCCAGATCTTCTTCACCAAAAATGGGAAGCGGGTGAGTGGGAAATCCCAGGTGGGATTTAAGCGGGTTGAAGCCATCCGAGGATCTGTGGGAGTGGAAATCATCTGGCTGGGCTTGCTCAGGGACCCATAGGCTTTAGTTCCACCTCCTTCAGGCCAGCCTCAGGTTCTTCTGAAGTCTGTGTACAGGACAAGACACTTTCCCTGCCCAGGGGAAGCCAGGACATTGGCTAGATGATATGTGCACAGGGGTGGGTTAGTGCAGTGGAGGATGGGCAGAGATTGTAGGGGACCGAATTGGGTTATTTGGGGGAAAGTTTTGAGCAGAAAAGGAGAGGAAGAGGTTACAGCCTGGCTGCATAAGCTGGAGGTCCTCTTCGGAGATTTGACTTGAATGCTTTTGAGGGATATGTCCGTTCTGTGTTTATTTTTCTTGTTTCGCTTCTCCTTTCCTTCCCTCTTTGGAGACAGGCTAGTAGCGGTGAAGAGATGGGTAAGAGCGATGGAAGAGAGACCCTCAGCTGTCTTTCGTCTCCTGTCCTGCTCCATCTCCCACCCTGGGAAGATTGCTCTCTCAGGCCTTGGTGGGGGGCGGGGGGCCCTCCTTAGCGTCTGTGCCTCTAGAACACACACGTGCCAAAGGCATTTGGCAGCAAGTCAAGAGATTTATGTCTGCCCTCTAGCTTTGTGGATACCTTGCTTGGCCAGGCGTGCTTAGCAACTTTTTAAACTTTTCCGTACCTCTGTTTTGCTGTCAGCGTGTGTGGTAGTTATTTGTTGCATCATCTCAAAAGTACCCTTGTGAGAATTAGGTGAGCTGTGGAAAAGTGAGCCAGGCGGCAGCTCCCTTCCTCCCTCCCTCCGCTGCAGGTGGGCTCCACCATCATGCCCATGTCCCCAGATGGACTGTTCCCAGCAGTGGGCATGCACTCTTTGGGTGAAGAGGTGAGGCTGCACCTCAACGCTGAGCTGGGCCGCGAGGACGACAGCGTCATGATGGTGGACAGTTACGAGGACGAGTGGGGTCGGCTGCATGATGTCAGAGTGTGCGGAACTGTAAGTGGAGGAGGGGGTGGACTGGTGGCGGTTGGACCGGGAGGCCTGGGCTGAACTCTGGGCCACATACGCATGTCTGAATTGCTTAGAATGGGGAGTGAGGACAGTGTCTTTTATAGGGTTTTGGGAAACGGGAACTTGGGGCCTTGACGCGACTTCTTGAATCCAGATCTGTGTTCTCCTTAGTGCTGATTGGCTGTCTTCCTTCTGTGTCACTGAGAGCTCAGGTTAGTTGCTTTACTCTGAGAACAGCAGTAGTTCTCCTTTGCCTTCTTTGGTTCTTTTTGCATCTGGTGGCCTCTGCTGCCCTGCACATCCGGGCTCATTTGGAGGCGGGATGCCTGGATCCTCCTTTCAAAAGCCCAGTCTTAGCTCAGCTGGCCCAAGCTCTCCACTCACTGTGCTGCAGGTTATGTGTGGTCACAAGCCCTGCTCCTGTGGGGGAAGGTTCTGAGATCTGTCTTGAGTAAGTGTCAATGTCAATGTCTTCTGTCTTCCCCCTACATTTTGATAGAGGAATGCGAATGAAGGCAAATGAAGATTCATTGAGAATCCTTGACCCTCCAGTGTCTGCTTTTTTAATACACCGTCTCCTCATACCTGCTTTGGTCTCTCCCTGGATTTGAAACTTTCTTGGGGAGTGTATGGACCTTGGGAGAGGGAAATTCTTCACATCTACCCTCGATGCCTCATGCTGGGCTGGGAGTGAATGGATGCTGAGTCAGGGGTCTGGCCCTGGCCTCCAGTGGGCTGCTCCGGCCTCCCACTTCGAATTGTCCCTCTGCCGCCCTCTTGCTCCCGGCTCAACCTTTTTCTCCACCCTCTGGCCTTCTCACCCCAACCCAGGCTGTTTTCAGCTTAGCCTTTGATAGCAAAACAGAAGCAGTGGGGGGTGGGAGTGGATTATGAGCAAGGCTCCCCCCATTTCTGGAGTTCAAGGTGAGTCAGACTCAAGGAAAATGGCAGAACGTGTGCCCTACTGCTGCTCCTGACAACTCTGCACCCCCTCTGGCAGTGGGGTCTGAGGGCCGCAATGGCGGCAAGCCGGGAGGCTTCAGATGCCCACTCTTTGATTCTCATCTCTTTCTTTCCCCCTTCCACCATCATCTTGACAACATCTACAGAGTTGAACTTGGGACTGAGCCAGGGCGATGTTCCAGCTCTCATCCCTGACCTCTCCTCAAGACTGTTTTCCTGGCATCTTTTCCCTGCCTGGACCTGTCCCCACTCTGGCCCCAGCTCCTCCCAGGCAATCTTTTCTAATTGATGTAGAATCCTGTAGACATTTATAAATAGCCTTCCTTCCTCTCTGCCCTCCCCCAATGCCCTCAGGTCACACATTTGAGAATTTTTTCTTTCTTAGACATAAGCTGTTTGGCTCTTCTCTCAGACCCTCACCCCAGCTGGGGACAGCTGGCAGGGTGGACACACTGTTCCCTGAGCACCTACTCCTCTGGGGCAGACTGGAGCATGAGCCTCTTGAGAGATACATGCCTTTCTTCTTCTCTTGCCAGCGACTCCATCTTTCAAATGTGGGTGACATATCCGGTTTCTTCCTTCCATCCCCTCGGACCCTATCCCTGCTTGTCTCTTGCCCTGCTCCTTCTTGTCCCTTTTGACCATCCATTGTGTTTGTGATCTGGGGATGGGAGTTGTATCTCCTGGAGGAACCTGGGAGAGGTCATTTGGGCTATTGGAGGCCTGTGCCTCCCACTTCTAAAGATGTATAGCTCAGCTGTTTCTCCATTTTGCCCTTCCTGTTTTCCTGTCCCCTCTGTGGGGAGCCTTTCCCTGGAGCCTCAAGACCTCCGCTGTTGGATGGGCCCTGTTTCTCCCGCCTTGAGTGACGTTCCCGGTAGAGCGCCCTTTAGAACCATAAAGGTCTGGGGGAGGCTCTGATGCCATCCGGTCCAGGGCTTCCCGTGCGGAGCCGAAGACCGTTCACCTTGACATGCAGGATGTTTAGCATCCTAGGCACCCAGACCCAGGGTGCTGGGAGCTCCCTCCCCTAGTCTTTGTGACAGCCCTCATGCTCCCAGATCTCTTGTGCGGTTGATGAAAAAACACAGACAGAAGTGAAAACAGCACCAGACAGAAGTGAAGAGACTTGTTCAAACGTCAAACAGTGAATTAGTAGTGAAACTAAGTCCAGATATTTATTCTTTGATCCCTTGCCACCACTCTGTCCACTGCCAGACACATGCTGTGCCCTTCTCCCCAACCCTTCTTCTGAAGCCCGTCATCTCTCCTCCTGGCCCTTCTTGTAAGGTGAATCGGGGTTCCTGGGCTTTAAGTCCCCACCTCCCCTGTCAGTTTCCTGACTAGCTCTTAGCCACGGCTCTTTTGGGTGAGCTTACCTTGCTGTCTGGGACCCTTTGCCTCCTGGGCCTTTCTCTCAGTTTGGAGTCTCTGTTATCTTCTCTCTTCCCTTCTCACTGGTTCTTCCTACAGAGAAGAACGAATTCCTGACCCTCTTTTTTCCCTCCAACATTAAATTATGAACAATTTCAAACATATGGAAAAATTGAAAAAATGGTACAGTGTGTACCCATTTACCTGCTACCTAGCTTCAACAGTTGATATTTAGTTGTGTCTGTTTGATCTGAGCACCTGTATATAGACAGACCTGGCTCTTTCTTGAGTGGAATCCTTCCCCCTGCATCCTGTGGCCTCAGTTTCCCCTCCTGAAGAGTCCCTCCTTTGCAGAGCTCTGAGGGTGTTGAGGAACCCCTGCTGTGTTTGCTCAGGGATGGGGGTGTTACCCCTCACCTCATCCCTGCCCCCAGGCTTTGCAAAGTGAGGTAATGTGTGGAGGGTGGGGGGCAGTAGGTAAAGCTGGGGGATTAGACTCATTCTGTCTTTGTTTCCTGCTCATAGCTCCTCTGACAACTCCTTAGTGATGGAGCAACGGCTTTGGTACACAGAGAGGGGTGAATAAGGCCTCACCCTCCAGGGGTCCTCCTGGACCCAACCCAACCCAACCCAACCCAGGAGGAGACCATGTTGGGGCCTGAGCTGGCCGGTGGGGAGTGTGGAGCACGTTCTTGGTGCCTGTTTCAGCTGCTTCTAGGCCCTCAGGGCACTGAGCCCTCCCTTGCTCCTGTCAAGAGGGATTAGGGTCTCTGCTGGCAAGAGGAGGAGGGCGGATACCAGCCAGAGAGAAGTGACTGGGAAGGCGCTACTGGGAGGTGGGGGGTTGGAGTGCAGGAGGCTCTCTGCACTCTGGCCCGCAGCTTCCATTCTGTGGCTTCGAGTCCACCTGTTTGGCCTCTCAGGGCTTTGGTGGTGTGGGGAGGGAGGCTCAGGAGTTGGGGGGCTTGAAAGCACTGAGGAAAGGATACCCTTACCCCACCAAAGATGTGGGGGAATATTCCTGCTGCTTGGGCATTATTTGAGAAGTACTAAGAGGAGGGCAGCTGGTCAGTGGGGACAGAGTAATCTGGGGCGTGCTCATCTGTCCTAGGGGAACGGTGACCAGTTCTGGGGCCTATGGGGCTGCTGGAGTTGGAGGTAAGGGCTGAGATGAAGGGTCATTTCTGTCTGTGATGCGAAGTTATAGTCTGTTGTAGCTTTGGGGTGACCGTTCATGTTCACGGAGCATTGATACGTGGGTATGTTCTGGTACACCCCCCCCCCCCCTTTCCTGATTTAGGGAAAGGCGGAACATGTGTTGATCACCTGGGGGCAGGCTCCATGCCGAGCACTTGACACACTTCATTTAGTCTTCTCTCGCCCATTTTAGGAAAATTCCTTTTACTGAGGAAGAAACTGTGTATTAAAGGAGCAAAAGTCGCTTTCTCGAAGTTAGCTTCTAGTGACTAAGAGGAGTTAGGATTTGAACCCAGGGCTGTGTGATTCTCTTTCCAAACTGAAAGGCATTTGAGGCACAGATGAGGGACCAGCATTGAGATTCTAGCAACTCAGACCCTAGGGGCTAAACCTCCCATCTCCACTAGGTTGCTAAAGCCCTAGTCTCAGGAGGGGAGGAGTGAACTCAAGCTAGGATCTGTCAGGGAGGCCACACTCCCCACCTGCCCCTGTAAATGCTGAGAGAGGATCAGATGAATTGGGGCAGTTTACGCCCTAAGGGGCGGGTGGTTCCTCTCTTGCAGAGGGCGGCATTTGCTGGGACCTAGTCTTCCAGCTGTCGGCAGTCTGTCTGAAATGCTGTGCCGGGTGGGGAGTGGGTTTCAGAGTCCCACATTAGTGGGTTTCGTCCTCCTGACCTTTTAGCTGGAGGAAGCGTCCCCACCCTGTCCACAGACAAGACTGCAGTGGCCGCAGTCCTCAGGGCTGAGGCAGAGGGAATGGTTGGGCGGGTTTTTCCCAAGGATCAGGATCTGGAGCCGCTGCCTCTTGGCTCTGGAAGTGGAGAACACTGTGTTTCCTACGCCGAGGCCAGTTGGATGGAGTGGGTCGAGGGCAGCTGTGGGATCCCCCACCCAGTTCTGCAATGCTGGACGGAGAGGGTGGGCTGGGGGGCTCCTCGCACTGGGTGGAGCGTTAAGCCAGTTAATGCACACCAGGCTCTACCCCTCCCAGCTTGTGGGGAGATGCCGAGGAGGAACCCAGGCCCAGCAGAGGATACAGGACCGTGAGGGGAAGTCCAGCAGTGTGGGCCTTTAATTAGTACCCGGTAAATCAGAACATGGCCTGTGGGGGGACCCCCTTGTGGTGAAAGAAAGCAGTGTGAGCTAACCGAGAAGACCTGGGCTAGGGGTGTAAATAAAATAGGGTGAGCATAACCTGAAACACAGAAGGTCATGGCTGGAGGAATTTGGAAAAAAAGCCTGGGTGTGGATGTAGGAGGCTTCCCATGCAGCTCTGGCTTTTCCTCTGGTTGCCTCTCCCACCTCAGTTCTCTTTTGGAGAAGAGGAGAGGATGGACTTGAGGTGGCAGGGCTTTGGGGATCGAGGGCTGAGAAGGGGACCCTGTCCCTCAAGTGTTCTGTCTGAAGGGGTGGTGAGGGTGCAGGCCCTGCCTCTGCCACAGACACCTAGGCTTTTGCACTGGTGCAGGCCAGCATAATTCCTTTCCTGTTCAGGCAGGAGTTCTTTGGGGGTGAGAGGCCAGCATCCCAAGGCTTGCCAGGGATGAGTGGAGGAGGTCCCCAGGCAGTGTTTTCTTCTGGGCTGGAGGGGTGGGAGGGTAGACTAAAGTCTTGAGGGGCAGTTTGGCTAATTAAAAAGGGATTAAGGACTCCCAGGTGATGCTGAGGGTGAGGAAAGAGGGGATGGGGTTGAGTCATAACCCCACCATTACCATGACAACTGATAAATAAATCCTCCCAGCTTGGGGGTGGCCGCCCCATCATGCCCAGGCAGGACCATTGTGGAATTGAAGAGCCCCAAGAGTCCTGTCAGTTGCCTCCCCTCTCCCTCCACCTCCACACCCCTGCTGTGAAAGGGCCGAGAGGGGCTGTGAACAGGAAAGCCTGCCTTCATGTCTCCGGCCTGCCTGCTCCCCTCCTTCACATTAAGTAAAGAGTGGATCTGGTCATTCTGGGTTCCCTGATTCCCCGCGGCACCCCCCTGACCCAGCTCTGTCCACAGCCAAGTCAAACAGCCCTTGAGAAATCACATCCGTCCCATCCTAGGCAGAAGTGGTTTCTGAGCTGTCTCCCCTCCCTCAGACATCTGGAGTTGGCACCTAACCTCTGCATCCTCCCTGTCCCCATTAGGCCCCCTCATGTCTCCTCTCAGCGCAGGCTTCACGTCCTCACATCTCTTTTTCTCCTGTCCAGGGCCCCTGGGTAGACCTCTTCTAGCAGGGTCTTTCAGGGCAGGGAGGTGACAGCCTGGAGACCCCTAGTGTGGTCCTAGGTGCTCAGCCAGCTGGGGTGCTGTGCTGCTGCCCGCCTCTCCCCCAAAGCAAGGAGAGGGGCTTTGGCTCAGTAGGTAGATGGGTGCGGGGCTCAGCTCTCCTGCCTGTGCTGCCTCCTTTGCTTCCCCCCCTCCGCCCCATTCTCCCATGCCTGCCCAGAACGTTGGGGCCCAGTTTCTTCTAGGATCCTTTCCCTTCCAGCCAAGGGTTTGTCACGCTTAGGAAACTGGTCCTGAGTGCCTCTGGACCAGGTTTCTAGGGCAGGTGTCAGTCTGCCCTCTGCACCACCTGCTGCCCCTGGCTCTTCCCCCACAGCTCCTGGAGTACTTGGGCAAGGGCAAGAGCATCGTTGACGTGGGGCTGGCCCAGGCCCGGCACCCGCTGAGCACCCGGAGCCATTACTTTGAGGTGGAGATCGTGGATCCTGGAGAGAAATGCTACATCGCCTTGGGGCTGGCCCGGAAGGTGGGGACTCATGCTGGCTTTTTACCTGGAGAGCTGCTCAGCTCTGGGGCTGTTGGAATGGAGCTCAGAAGCTTTTGGGGAAATCGGGGAGCAGGGGGGGCAGGCTGTGGAGGGAGAAGGGTCTTTACCCGAGCATGGTTGTGTGTGTTCGCTGTGGGAGGGTACGCACCCCCCATGACCCACAACCAGATAAGAGGGTCCTGACTGCAGCATTCAAATGGGCCTGCAGGTCGGGAGGGGGCAGCCTGCAGCCCTGGCTGTGAAAGCCAAACACCCTTATTACCTTCCCGGCGTCCCCTGCAACCTCAAGTGCCTGAAGGGGGTGGGAGGCTGCAGGGGAGTGAGCAGCCCTCTGGGGTTGTAGCCTGTTTCAGAAGGTTGAACGTGCAGATGCCCTCTCTCCTGTTCTTCTCCTGTGCATGGGACCATAGGTTTTCTCTTTCCTTCTTGGTGCAGGATTATCCCAAGAACAGGCACCCTGGCTGGAGCAGAGGCTCTGTGGCTTACCATGCAGGTGGGTAGGGGCTGCCCCGGGGCGGCTGAGGCCGTGGGGGCTGTAGAGGCACAGGGACATCCATTTTCCTGACCCCCAGCGAAAGGCCTCCCCTCCAGCGTCTGGCTGGTGAGACTTTCCCCTGCTGCTGTCTCATCTCCCCTTCCCAAGCTGCTAGTGCTTTCTCTTTGTCTGTGTTTTTCCTCCCGGCCTGAAAAGCGAGGGGAGCCGAAACAGGGGCGGGAGATCTGGGCCCAAACTGGACATTCCAGGCCTCTGAGTTGGCTCCCTCTGCGCCCTTCTTGCAGATTCTGCAGTTTCTTTTTTTGGTCTGCTTCATTTCCTTTAGGGCTTTCTTTAGAAAGGAGTTGCCATGAGCTCCCAGTGCCATCCCCATCCCCTCCTCAGCCCCTGTCCCCTCTCCTTTCTCCTGCCAGCATCCTGAGGGAGTCTGCTGTCCCTTAGCATCTTGAGCGAATATTGTGTCTCTTTTTTTTAATATGGTGCCCTCTTTCTACTCCTGTCTTTCCATCGTTGTTTCACCTTGACCCTTTCCCTTCCTCAGTGCCAGAGAGGGAGAGGAGCAAGCATTCAACTTCAAGCAGGGACCTCTCTCTCGCCCGGTGGAGGGTAGAGGATCAGCCCTTCCTTCAAGTGTGTGTCTTCTCCCTCC